GATTTTTAAACTGTAAATTACAGATTTAACTTAAGAATTAAACTCCACGACGGTAAATCATGTGTAGTGAAAAAGTTGTTTCTCTAAACCGCAACAAACTGTCAAAATTCACATTACCAGTCTCCATGATGAGCTGCCAACGGCTAACATTGCCAACGCAACGGTCCAACGGTTACGTGAAGTTACGTTAACAACTGATATTAAATGAAGCTAACGTTACTCCGTGTCCACTTCACTGTATCTTTAAAAAACCGTCTGCTTTAATTGGACTCTAAAGGCTCAAGATTTAGGTAAATAAGTCGAGTATTTTACGACGTGGATAAGCGTGAAATCAGCTGGCAGATAACAGAAAATAAAGCCAAGTTAACTGAATAAAAAATGCCACACACCTGCCGTTAAACGTCCACTCCACCGCCGCTACACGGCTCCCGTAGCTACGGGCGACAGCGACAGTCCTGACACAAAACACAACATAAACGGTGAAAGTCGCTCACAAGCGAACAGCATACTGGAGATAATTAAATTTCCGTGTGCCTATAAACGCACTCACTTCACTTGTCGGCTGTGACCATATCCCTGCCTTCTTCTTCTTCTTCTACTATTTGCCTCCCGTCTCCTAAAAAGTGTTGCCTGTGTGCTGGAGGAGTCCCGACTACCGGAAGATAAGGAAAGTTTGCAGCAGACAGGCAGGAGCGCCTCTCCACATTTTCCATGACAGGTGCATTTCCTTAGCTCTGTTTACCACAGGAGGGCTGGAGGTGGAAAATGTGACCCAATGAAACAGCCCATTAATTTGCTCTGCTCCTTTGACCATCCCAGACTGTGGCCTAACAGTGAAGGGGACTTTTAAAGGAACATAAAAGTTGACTATCAGGATATAAACATGAGAATTGCGATATATTGTGAGCATGTATTGCTACAGATGGTGTCAGCAGTTCCCTGTTAGACACTGTGCCACTATTTGTTGTCAAGGCGTATGCAAAGTCATGGTAGGACACATTACTGTTAAGCAAATGATTACTGAGCCTGTAGAGACAGCCTGTGCAGTCACACCAGTTTTGAGGGGAAACACACAGGTGATCAGGGTTAAACTTGTAATATCACCATGAAACTTCCCAAAATTGATTACTTAGCTACTTAACGACAATTATTTTTTTGTATTGTAGATTTGCTGAATTTTATGTTTAAATATGTAGATAAGGCATTATCTAATATGTGCTTTCTGTATATATCTCCAGAACAGAAATCTGAACTAAAACTATGCAAATGTGGAATGATATAATTAAATATATCCTGTTTTGCATACATCTCCAGAACAAAAATCAGAACATTGGGTAAAGCCTGGTTCATAATCATTGTTTCACTGTGTTGTCATATTATGATCCAAGGCTTTTACATAGGGTATTTGGGATATCTCTTTTAATCACTGTCATCACTGTCACCAGCCATAAAAAATCAATTCTTGCCTTGTTTTAAAGAATAAAATGTTTATGACTGATGACTGATAAATGAATAAACCCCTCTGTAAGAACCTTTAGAATATAGTTAGGAATGAAACTGGACAGTTTGGTGTATGTAAATGCTACTGAAGTTAAGATTTTTGGCTCAGACTATGAGAGAAAAAAATCATTTTGAGAAAACAGTCTTTTAAGATATGTATAGTTATATTCTACACTGTTTTAGACAAAAAAATAAGATGTTTGGGGAATAATTCTAGCACATAAACATCACCATACTGCACCAGTTGGTTTACTTCATTAAGACAATTATCTTTTTGTATACAAGTTTTCCTGAAATTTTACATTTCCACAACAAAAATCTGAACATTGGATTAAGCCAGGTTCAAAATTAATATGTGGCGTAGTGGAGAAGCTGCTTGGAGTACATTGCTGGTGTGGACGTATGAAAAGAATCATACGGCATGTGCATGGTGCTCTGTTGCACACTTTTTGAGTGTCTGAGAGCAAATCTGCTGCTTGTAGATCAGTGAAGATTGTAGTGCATATTTATGTATTGTGCATATTTTTTTTTAATTTTAAGAATTACTTATGTATTGTTGTTTATGCATTTTCACATATATTTGATTTAATAACACTCAGTGACACTGTTTATGTTAGAAAAAAGCAAAAAAGTTCAATAAAATATTAATGATATTTTTTTTTTCCAAATTATTGTTATAAGTTGTTGTCATATTAGGGTCAAAGGCTTTTAAATAAATATGTTTTCGCTGTTTTTAGGAATAAAATGTTATATAAATCAGGCTATGAATGATGAAAACCTTCAGAATATAGATAGGAATAGAACTGGAATGTTTGGTGTATGTCGGTGCTGCTGGAGATGAGATTTATGGCTCAGAGTATGACAGAAAAAACTCATTTTGAGAAAATGACCTTCAAAGATATGTATTGTTATATTCCATACTTCTTTTAGGCAAAAAATAAGAAACAAAATGTATCACCATATCACCGTAAATATCACCATGATACGTCCCCAGTTGATTTACTTCATTAAGACAATTATTTTTTGTATTACAAATTTTCTGAAATTTTGTGATTGTATTTGCAAATGAGGGATTTTCTAATTAAATATGTGCTTTATCCAAACTAAAATAAATACCTGACTCTGTATTTTGGACATTTTCTTCTGAATAGTCTAATAGTCTAGATCCTAATCTTAATATTGACCAGCGCATGAAAACTGTCTTCACCTGGTGTGTCTCGTCTCAGTCTCATCCAGACTTGCTACAGATCTCTGGTATCTAAGAGGTCAGTATGAGATACCTTATCTCCCCAAAATGATATATTGATAACCTTTGTCATGTGGTCTCTTGTCAACAATGTAAATATCTTATTTAAGTCTGTGTTGCTTTAAATCTATTAATGTTTATGGCTGAAACATCTGATCAGCTGATGATAATTATCAGGTTGATCATAGATAACGGCTCTTATAATGTGTTAAATGTGCTCAACCAGGTGCCTCCATGAATTTATAGACTGAGGCATCAAGCTTGACTGAGAATTGACAGAGGTGACCCTGCATATTTCTGCTGACTTTGTATTTCATATGATTAATACTACACATAAGAGGAATCTCATATGGGCCATCACTCAGTGATAAAATCCAACCGTATCTGTTTAATATGGCTCTACTGTCAGGCAGAGGAATTCACCTCCTGCAACAGCAGATACAGATAGGTGAAGAACAACATGAACTGTCTTATTAACATGTTTATTCATCACGAGCAGTGTCAGTGATTTCTACTGGAAGGATGAACACCACTCATCCAGAAGCAGAAGACATTACCTTATTTGGGCCAAAAATCTCCTGTAGCTGTTCATCAGGGTCAGACCTGCTGACTTTAAAGGCCGTATCATATGATTCACATCATTTCTATGCTTGTGCCCCCCCTGTATGGACACATCTGTATTCATGGACAAATTTTGAAACAATGGGTCCCTGGACACAGACATGTAAAAGGCCCCCACCTCTCCATCATTAGAGCAACACCCTCAGACTGAAAGAGGCACAAAACAACATCACTTAAATCACTTTGAGTCTATCCTTAGGTTGTTTTCACAGATAGTCCTTTTTAAATTAACCAAACTCAGTCCTCTTAAAGTTCACAAAATTGTGGACCGACAGAAAAGGGACTCAGTTCTTTTTGTGTTCACATTGTCGGTTCATTTGAAAGAGAACTCAGTTCTCTTTCTGGTCAACTTCAGCTCCGATGGGGCCTCAGTCCTCTTTCTGTTCACACTATCATCTATAATATATACTGACATAGTTTCGTTTTTACTTTGACGTGGCCCTGCAGCATGGTTATGAAACCCCTTCCTTTCAGATGAACTTAAAATTGGAGGAAGACCTTAGTGTTTCTGTGCTGTAGACTGTTGCTGTTTGATGTGTTCTATATTCCACATCTGGAGACGTGCAGTATCTTCCATGGACCAAACTACTCCTCATCCTGCGTCCTTACAAGTGTTTCAGGCTGACATGGTTTCATCTGTTTTTTTCAAGCGTCCCAGTGCAACAGCATGTGATCTAGAGGGTTAAATACTGTGGCAAAAGCAAAGTGAACCTGGAGCACTTTGTGCTCACAAGGCACAGAGGTCTGAGTGCGGTTCATTTCAGAGGCGTCTGAGTTTTCTTGGAGTGTTCACATATGTGCAAAAAATGCTGAGTCACCGCTCTGAGTCCACTTAGAGGGCTGAAAAGGACCAAGTGTGGCCATTTTGCATCTCATCATGGCTTCATTTCTATGTGAGCGTTGTATGTCTCCTTTTGGTTGTTTTTCATTGCTTTGTTTTGCATGTCTGTGAACATTTTGCATCTTTTTGCTGTCATTTTGGATTTCTTTGACATGGTTTTGCAGTTGTTTTGCATCTTAATGGTAATTTTGCATGTCTCTGTAACCATTTGCAGTTGTTTTTCATCCTCTGTCAGGGTTCCATTGGTCTCGGAAAAACTGGAAAAGTCATGGTATTTCACAATTACATCTTCCATGCCTGGAATTAGTAAAAATCATTAAAAGTTTTGGAAAAATCATTGTGCATAATGAAATTGTTAAGAGTAATCTCCTGTGGATAACCTTCAACATGATGTAACATAACAGCAAATTATTTTCTGTAGCTGTCAGGTAACGTAGCTTTAATATGTGTCGATGTGTGAGGACGTTTCTCGGTGTTCTGTCTTTACATTTATGTATGCCCTGTAGCTAAAATTATGTTTGATTAGAGTTTGAATGTCTGATATGTTTGAAAAAAAATGATGGGTCCTTGAAAAGTCATGGAAAAGTTTTGAAATTTCATCCATGAAAAGGTGTTAAAACCCTTCTTTGTCCTCATTTTGCAGGGGCTTTGTGTCTCTTTTGGGCTGTTTGACTGACGTTCCAACATGAAATATTACCTGTCAATTCAAACGGAGGCTCTTGCCCAGGGGCTCTGACTTCTTGGACCCCTGGGCATGTGCCCAGTAGCCCTGTCCAGTAATCAATGTCTGAATTCTGTTTCTCCACCTATTTATTCAACCTTTTCTTTATTTTCACACCTTTCTGTCACTCAGATGTGAAACTGTCATGTAGTATTTACAAATGTTTTTGCAAAAATGAGCTGTTTCCTCCTGAAGTTCCAAACATATACTGGCATGGCAGAGCAGTAACATAAAAAAATCTTGTAGAGGTTGACCTGTAATTCACTGCACATAATGAACCCTGTGGCAGTACAAGTCATAATATTGAAGTTTTATATGTTTGGGTGTTCCTGTAATTACCAGCACACTGATGTGACGTGAGTCACGTCTACGTCTACAGCTTTTCATTTCAGCCAGCCACAAGAGATCTGGTGATCAAACACAGCAGGGAAATTAAGTGAGTATAACACAACAACAAGGTGCCGTTGAGCAAGGCACCTTAACCCACTACTGTTATCCAGCAGCCAACAGGTAAGGTTGTGACTGTGGCAAAGCTTGTGTGCTTACAGATGGGATTACATTTGCATGAGTGTGAGGCAGGGTGTTTCTGTAAAATAAACACAGTATTAGTGGTTGGTGAACTTGCCCTGGATAAACAAATGTTTATAGAAACACAGCAGCTGCTGATGTCACTACCTTACAGATGAAATAATCAGTGACCAGCTGGCTGCAGTGGAAACTTCTGGACCGTACACTCGTCTATTTCTTCTCTAGACTGCGGCACATTAAATGTTGAATGTCACAGTGTTCACTCAGTATCTGCGTTTATCTCCTCAGCTCATGACGGTCTGCACTCCAAGTCCAGCACAATATGATGAACATGAGGAGCGTATGACTTCACATGTTCAATATGCTGGATGTTTGTTATCCACCGTGCATCAGTGATGTCCTTTAAAAGAGAGGCGATGCGGTTTGCTGTGTCATCGGCCCAGGCCTGCCACGCCTCTCTGTCAGCTGTCTTCCCAGAAGCCCTGGAGGTGGCATCATTGATTACTGGAATGGCTGCCGTGCTCGGTAACACTGAGGTAACATTCTGGTGAATGTGCAGAATGCCTCCCGTTGTTCTCTTCAGCAGTCGACAGGCGACAGGCCACCCGTCCTCAGAGCTTGGTATGAGACCCAGGTTCACTCTATTGGCAATGTCACACAGCTGGAGCTGAAAGAAAGAAGAATAAAAAAAACCTTTAATACTGTTAACTAAATTCTCTTCCCGAAACACCTGTATGAACTTTTGTCATATTTGTGTAATGGATCTTTATAGCTACAGTCAGTGCACAAAACATTTAGCAGCACATGCTTTTAACATACAATAAATCTACTTTGACACTCTAGCTGAAGGCCATGATTTACAACGTCACTCGTGAAATATTTGGTATTCTGGGGAAAAGATACAGATTAAAAGGACTGCCAATGGCATTTTAAAACCAAGAGACTACTGTACAAAATGAGACAATACCGAATATTGAGATGCCTGTAATGTCTTGTGCTCTGTGCAAATTTAAAAAAAGAACAATTTGAATTTTTCACTGCTGTAATGCGAGAAGTGAAATTACAGTGAAATTTAAATAGGAAAAAATAGGAAAAACCAGACTGCCCTTGGATTAAGTTTTTGCTGTCCAATTTTCTGATGCGCCCAAACATCATTGCTAACTTTTACACTCCAATCTGAATTGTTCTTTTGATTCTGCAAAAAATACCCCCGTGGTTTCAAATAAAGTCTGTCTCTGGCACTTTTAATAGTTATGACAAAAAACAACAACTATCAAATAGTAGAAATCCTGGATAACAGCTAAAAATATGATCAGCTGTTTTTTTCTGTGTCGATCTAGTTCAAGTTTCATGACATAAAATCTACTTAAAGGGTTGAAATAAAGGCTCTTGGCAGAGGTTAGGAACTGAGTGATATAGTTGAAATCAATTTGAAGTATAAAACCAAGCAGAAAGAAACAAAACAGTTCAATATTCATCCCATGGAGTTGTGGGGGAAAAATGTATATATGAATATTCTTAATGTAACTTGATATTACAGTTCATACATCATTTTGATGACAGAACAGTGTAACAAAATATCATATAATCACTGTATCATCACAATATTATTTCCACTGAAATACTGGGAATAAAAATGACTAGAGTTATTACAGATATACAGTATGACAACAGTGATACACACACTGTAATAGCTATGTTTTCCCCATAGAAATGACCTGAATTCTAACATTACTTAATTTAATTACTGTGATATTACCTCAGCATTCAATGTGTTTATTTGAGTGACGCATTATTGGTTTGTGCAGCTATGTGTAACTTTCAGTGACGATGGGAACTAAGACAACCACAAGAGGGCATACGTCAACACTTCCCTCCCTGTGGTGAGGTATTTAATTAGGACAGAGCTAATATTGTAGTTGCGTGTAAACAATGCGTGTTACGTAAGCAGTATGGAATACATATAAAAACGCATTACTTGTCGGTTGTCTCCTTGGTGAACAGTGCAGCGGTCAGACACCCCGTTTGCCATGAGGTTTTTCTGTAGAGCTTCAACTGCAGCAGGGTTCCACTCACAGGCGTGAACGTGGCTTGCCCCCGCGTGGACCAGATACGGCAGAGTGAAGTATCCAATACCTGAGAAAAGATACAGTTGTTATAGTTAATAAATCAAGTTATGTTTAATTGCTATTTAATTGTAGAGGGGTTGGACACAATACAAATAACATGATGGGACAGGGATTACACCTAATGTGGGACTTAGGACAAAACTCGCCACAGATATCCACTACAAGATTCTATGTAGGGATTGTATAATACATGGTGATGTTTCAGTCAAAAAATGTGTCTTTATCAGTGTAAAACCCTGCCCCATATTAACACAGTTATCCCACCTGCGTACAGATCCACCACAGTCTCCCCTCTGCAGTCAAATCCAGCCACCCGCAGCTTCTCTGTGATGTTTCCAGCTGAGAACATGCATTTAGTGACGTCAAACTCATACCTGAAACAAAGGTGAAGACATTATAAGTTCACACATGTTCTGAGCATAGTCCCTTTTTTATTTATGTGCCCAGTGCCCTTTTCAGTGAGCAATTCAACAGCAAATAAATCACTGATTTATCAAGACTTAGACTTACCTAATCCTATTGTCTACATGTTTGACCCAGCTGTGCTCTCCTAACAACACTGTCACCACGGGAGACCTAAATCCATCCCTGGATATTCGACTCATCTTTGCCAGCCGCTTTGCCCCCAAACCGTCAGCCACTACACTCCATAGCTCTTCATCTAAAAAAAAGTAATAAATAGCAGTCAATAAAAGTCCTCATGAATTATTTTGTACACACAATACTAAAGTAAAGTATGGTTGAGTTTGAGAAAAGTACCCATTTTCTTCCACAGTTGCAGGGAGAAGCAGTTGTCTCCCAGCAGGACTAGGTCTCCATGCCTCTGGAAGCTGCGAGGGAGGTCCCCCCTCACGTCCTCTGTCCATGTTTCACCATGAGATTCACACAGCTCCTGGAGGATTTTCTCTAGTTTATTACCACTCGTCTGTCCATTCTTCTTCTTTGACTGCAGAGGACACTGTGGTGAAAACGGGACAGCAGATCCTGTAAATTAATTTTTCTGCTGAAGTATAATACTGTGTTGCTAATTCTAACTCAGCTTTACCTGACTCCAAACTATTTGACAAGCACTGTCTGACGCCACCATGGATTTGAGAGATTGCAGATCAAGTTCTGGCAGACAGGAAGGTAAAATGGGCAACAGGACAGTCCCATCTGAGTCCTTCAGTAAACATAAATTCAGGTCCAGAGCTCCTTTAGACTGTAGATACTTCCTGTAAGAAATGACGTACATTATATGTTCATTGACATTATTATTATATTACATTATGCCACATTATGACATTACATTATGCCACAAAAACATATTAAACTTGTTAATCAAGCCATCTTTTTTTGTCCAGATTTCTCTTAAAGTTAATTCCCACTATTGTCTTTGGTTCCTATGCTAAATGCTAGCTAACTTAGCTGCAGCAGCCATCCACTCACTAGATGGCTTATTACCTGAACTGCTGTGCGTGACACTGCGACACACGAAGACAAGGCACACCGTCCATTTACCAGCAAACAAACAAATCCACTGTATTTATGTTTGACGGTTCAAGAGCGCTAAATTAGCCTACAATCAAACACACGGCTCTTGTTTCTTGTCGGACGCTTATACGCGACGGACGTTTCAAAAGACAAAGCTTTATTGTGAATACAAACAGCTAGCTTACATGTTAAACTAAACCGCCACGGCTCAAGCTTCTCGGAAGTTGAAAAAGGGGCAATTTATTACTAAAAATGGCGGCTATGTCTTTATCTATGTTGCATTTTTGTTTGAGGACGCTCTTGTGATTTAAGAAGAGGGAATAAATCAGTAGCAGTTTGGACAAAGTTGCTCGTCGACGTCGATAGATGGAGACAAACGGCTCCTAACACAGGAGGGTGAGTTGGCTTAATTAACTCAAATTACACGAGTGTGAGACACAGTAACGTTAAAGTACAGTAAAGGTGCTCTTAAATAAAGCATAAAAACTGAAGTCTGTTTAATATCATACTATCGTGTAGCCCAGTAGTTCTCAACCTTTTTTATGTCAGTGAAAGTGATACACATTAGTTGTCCATCTGAAAAGACTGTAGTTGTTATATCAGATTAAAAGTTGAGGAGATAACCGTCGAGGAAGTGAAACCTATGTTCAGAATAGTTACTAGTATGACTCTTACTAACATTGGGCTCACTTCTATAGTAAAATACTTGTGTAAGAAAACATTTCCCCATTTTTCTGGTGCTCTCCCAGGGACCCCTGGGGGTCTCCAGACCCCAGGTTGAGAAACACTGATGTAATCTTTAATAAAGACCAAGAAAACGTTTTAAATTTGCGTCAAGCTGGGACAATAAAATGAACTTATAGAGGCAGAGCAGCCAAATGAATATCTACATAAGGAGGATGATTTCATTTATTTATTTATTTAATTAGTGTGTATTTCAGGCTTTACTATGTCACCAGACCTTTATTCTTCTTTAAACCAAAAATTTAATTAGGGTTTTGTGGTTTTGTATTACTCTTTAATACTTTTGGGGAAGACTAAAAGAAGAGTAGTCAAAGCTGATGCAGCAAAGGTCAAGGTGGTCTATGTAACAAAGGTGTATCCTCCTGACTTATAGTCTCTCAGAGTCCATTTTCCCAAAAATGCTGGATCAGATAAAATGTTTAATCTGTATCTAATAGATTATTGGTGGTTTTGTATTGATACAAATGTAATGAGAATAGACTTCTTGACATGTTGCCCTTGATAGATAGATAGACAGCTAGATAGATAGTACTTAATTGATCCCAAACTGGTAAATTCTTGTGTTACAGCAGTAAGTAATCAAAAAGTGTATGGACATGAGAATATTGAAATATAAAAATATATACAAAAACAAGTATTACTAAAATCTGAAGTATACACAAGAAATATACAGGAATAAAATAAAAATATCAAAACTATTGAGCTATGGAGGACCGACTATAGAGAGCTCTGAGTGCTCTCTGTCAGACAGAGGCGAGGTATCATATAGCACTATGACTTCGGGGAGGAATGATTTCCTGTATTGGTCCTTGTGACAGTGAAGCGGAGATGGGTTTTTTTTACACCGTTTAAAAGTTTTGTCTCAGCTCTTCCTGTTTTATTGGTTTTGTTCTTAGACTTTATTAATTAATTATTCATTGATTGACTCCTGAGCTACACTAATGTCCTTTTGGAATATGTGTCAGTTTGTTAGTGTCAGTGGTATTGTAGATATGGCATTGGCCTTTCATATAGCAAACCATTTTCATTTTGGGGGGTGAAGGTATCTGCGTCTTTGATTGATATTTTATTGTTATTTATACTTTATATTTGCACTCTTTCTGGCTTTGTATTGCAACTGCTTCTTGTCTTATCTTATCTTTTTTTAAATTCCATCTCATCTTATTTATCTGCTGAACGTTAGATCAGTCATATCCTCAAACTTGTACTTGCAGCGAGATCAAACTCTCCATCCTCTCTGATCTCTCCTTATGTAATGAAAACTGGCACCAGATTTTAAATTCTGACTTTTAGATGTCTGCAGTCATGAGAACATTTGAGTTGGCAGCTTGGTCAAAGGAACATCTGACAGGTCATGTATTAATAATGTCCTCCCCTGCACTAGATATAAAACAGCAGGGATCCTGACTGATGGAGACGTACAGTATCTTTTCCATCTCTGGTCCATCACTTCAGGGCGGACTGAGAGTGAAAGATATTTGGTTCACTCTCCGGGTCGTTTATGGTCCAGCCCTGCCCCGTGCGCCTGATAAAGTGCCATCTTCTTGCCTTCATAGCAACAAGGAGGCTATAATAGCTCTATGACTGAGCTGGGCCAATACTGAGCCATCATCAGTTTTTATGTCTTTACCCAAAGTGATTTAGCAGGGGCTTTTATACAGTGTGTATGGTCAGTGTAAACTTTATTATTATTACGAGCCACAGATACATAACCACACAGACTTTAAATTATAAGCTTGAGCAGAATTTACAGTCACAAAAAGGCTGTGATTAATACAGATTCTCTGGTGACTGCAGCGTGGCTTCTGCATTAGACACACAACACAAGGGACTCACTGTTTAAAAATAGATATCAGTAATGATAACCCTCTGTTAAATTACCATTTCAACTTAGTATTTACTAAGTTTTAGGCCAGATATTTGAAGTTGTAACCCAAGACTTTAATGACCTGGGCTGGTTACAAATGCAACATAACACAATTTTATCATCAGTAGTGATATGAAAGAACCTTTGTCAAGATGAATAACAAGAAAGTGTGCTCCTATGCATAGTATGCTACACTAGTAATGAATGTCACATGACATAAGTCACATGACATGGCATTATGTTGGCAAGAACTGTACTTATCTTAAGCAAAACTGAGATGTTTTTGTAAACTTAACCATGTGCTTTTGTTGCCTAAACTTTTTGGCATTTTTGCCTTTTATTAGATAGGAAAGTCTAGCCTGAAATTGAGAGAGAGGGGATGAACTGAACCCGCAGCTACAGTGACAACGACATAGCCTCTGAGCATGGGGTGCCTGCTCTATTGGGTGAGCTAGTGGGTGCCCCTTGTTGCCTAAACTTAAGAAAATAAACGTAAAAGCGACGTGTTTTACCTATGTAGTAAGCATCAATTGAGACCCGTCCTTGAATGTCCAAAATCGATGCAAGAGGGTACCTAGCGTGTCATATTTTGATTTAAGTCCTCTAACAAAGTGATTGCATTTGATGAGGTGGGATGGCAAACCAATATTTGGGCCCAGAAGAACAACCAGCAAACCAGTTTGCCTGATGAAGGTCTAGTCACCGAAACTTTGCAGCATTAAAGTCATTTCTTTACAAGTCAGACAGTGTGCAGGAGTCCTTTCTACAAGTTTTGTTCTTCTCGTCCCTCTCCTACGCACCTGTTTGGAAATAGATGTGCAGAGGCTCGGTCCTTGCTGCAGTGGCCCGGGTTTGATTCCAGTTTGCAGCCCTTTGCTGCTTGTCTTTCCCTCCTTGGCCCCCCCCCACCAAGAAAATGTAGGAAAAGGGGACCCGTATGGCCACTGATACTGGCACATTTTACAACAACCACTATAAACCCCCTTTAACCTCCTATAAAGGCACTGTACATGACCGCTGCCCCAAAAAAATCCTTCAGTGGGACCCCACCTACCTTTTGACAGTTACTTAGGGCAGTCAGATAACTACTTATAACTTAATGTAAATGAATGGACTACACTCGTATAGCGCTGTTCTAGTATTCCAACCACTCAAAGTGTGTTTACACTACGTCACATTCACCCATTCACACACACATTCTCAAACTGGTGGCGGAGGGTGCCACCTGCTATTCAGTGACCACTCACATGCACTCGCACACCGATGGAACGGCCGTTGGGAGCAATTTGGGGTTCAGTATGTAGACTAGAGGAGACGGGGATTGATGACCCGCTCTACCTCTGAGCCATTAAGTATAACCTTCCATGAAATGGGGCCTCGATGGGTTTCTTTGCCTCGGGCCCCCCAGAGTCTAGAATCGCCACTGAACATGTACACTTCAAACATATGAGCTACATCACTAGATATTCAAAACAAAAATACAGATTCAATCAAGTTATGTAGTGGATATGGAAAAATATGAATAAATGAACTAAAACTGACCAGAAACATGTTATACAAATTGAGAAAAGTGAACATATTGTATTCCCTTGGTGGTTTCAGTGAACGGTGATTGAGTCTGAGGACCTCTGCAGTGTTTACCTCTGCTCTCTGGAGCCTTTAAACTATACATGAAGCAACACTGGAGGGATTAATGCATCTGGTGTCTATAGCCAATTACCTCCATGAATACACTCCTTCACACTCTCCTCCCCTGGGTAATACTACAGGGCGAGCAATCCAGCATATTAATGTGATCCAAAGAGGACCTTCATCTGTGTCCTTTGTTCCTTTTTGTTTTACCTGTCCTGCCCCTTTAAGATTAGACATTTCAATCTAGGCGTGTTTCCTGCTGCCATTGACTAAAACCGAGAGAAGGCATCCTGCGGGGAAAAAGCAACAAACAGCTTTTACGCGTTTGTGTCCATTCAGACGGTTATTTCTTTTATCTGACGGGTTTCTTTTTTTATTTTTAATACATGAAGGCTCAGTGACCATGAGCAGCAGCATGGTCACAGTCTAATGTCCGTGGACGCGAGTAGGATCATTTATGATTTACCGAGATGATATGAATGTCAATCGGTCAAGGTCCGCGCTCCCAATGCAACAGCCACGGCTGGATCATCTAGCGTCTGCTGGGAAACATCTGCCGCAAGCATTTGGATGAATTTCTTTTCTATGTATTTGTATTATTAATATAGGCTGGTGAGAGGCTTGAGATTGTCTGTGTGTGAGAAAGCAGCGTGGGACTGTGGGAATGACATGCTGCAGTAAAGACGGGAAACTGGAAATAATAATGGATCAGAAAACTGATGATGTGACTGCGACACTTTAAAAAGAAAATGCTGGTGCAGAAATCTTTCTTATTACTGAGTAAGTCTTCTCTTTGTGTTTTTCTTTTTTGCCACATTGACTGAGCAGTATTTGTGAGAGCCACCAGCTTATTGTCTGAATCGTTTCACAGTATAACAGCTGATATAAACCCAAAGAAGGACCGAGGACACCATGTCGGCGGTGATGATAACACGGAAGGTGCGAAAATGGGAGAAGCTCCCGGGGAAAAACACTTTCTGCTGCGACGGCCGGGTGATGATGGCCCGACAGAAGGGAGTCTTCTACTTGACTCTGTTCCTCATCATCGGGACCTGCTCTCTCTTCTTCGCCTTCGAGTAAGTTCATTTCCTATCTCTGTCTCTGACTCCTAATGGCATGATACATTATGATCCTGAAGGTGCTTATAAATCACTTAAAGGCTCTTGTGCCTCTCCGCAGTCCTCACAGTGTTTCCATATGTACTGAGGTGTAATTATCACTGGGAACAGGGTGATATGTCTCCCCCACTTAGTGTTCCCCCACTTTCGAAAACGTATAATATTTAGGCTAACCAAAAAAATCATACTTAATATGCTACTATCAGATTCTGGGCTCCAGATATATTCCACAAAAATGTCACAGAGGAATGTATATTTAACATAATTAGCAGTATTCTAGCAGAATGAAGAATGATGATCAACTTGATTATTTCCTGGATTTTGTTTTGGCTTCCATAGCCCCTTAATATACTTAAAAATAAAGGAACTCAGATTTAAATAGTACCTCAAGACCCCCATTTTAGTGTGTCCTCCCCACTTCTTAAACGGAAGTTACGCCCTTTTATATGTATGTTCGAGTGAGTAACGTTATCCAACATGATGCAACTTTGCAACTAGTCTTTCCAAAGCTGTGTTTGAGAGAGAGAATATCAAAATCCTCAGTTCCCAGCTTTTCAAATGTGAATATTTTCTGGTTTCCTTTGTCTTCTTTGATTATAAATCAAGTATATTTCTGGTTTTGCACAAAATAAATCACCTGATTTTCTTTTTTTTATAGACCAAATTATTGATAGATTTAAATTGAGAAATTAAAATACGGTACTCAAATATGCATACAGTACTAAAATTCATCATGATATTCCAAAAAAGTCACATGACTTACTTCCATTGCGGTCCTGAAGTGTTAGGCAAGGAGGCAGGCAGGACATGTACATGCTACTTATTTCACATTTTTTCACTTTTTACACCTAATAAAAACATTAAAACATTAATGTTTTACAGTCATAAAAGACAATTTAAAAAAACACTCAAATTTGGACCTGCCCTGGAAAGGATGTTTCACTATACAAGCTTACTGGTCATCCATTTATTAGCTGCTTCTTTACTCAGAGAATGGGCAGATTTAATTACTTTTGGGGATTTTATTTACTCCCCCACCCCACCGTACATCCCCATGTAGAGGAATTTTTAATTGATAAATCAAGGAAATGTAGATTAATCATGGTATTTATAGTCCAGGGCTGCAGCTAAAGATTATTACCATTATTGACTGATCTTGCAATTATTTCCTTGATTAATAGATTTATCATTTAGTCAATAAAATTAAAGTAGTGAAAAACACGAGAACAAAACACAAAGTGATGCATTTTAATTCCGTGTTTTATTCATCCAGATATTCAAAACCCAAATATCTTCAAGTTATCATGTATGACAAATGAAAGTTTAAAATCCTCACATTTGATTTGCTTGATCCAGCAAATATTTGGTATTTTTGCATAAAAAATAGTTGATTATAGTTGTTCTGACTCCAGTTTTTAGTCTCATCTGATCTCTCTCTATGAATTTGACAGACAGTAGTTTTAAATGAGTATTTGATATTTTTGAGCTTCTGTGAAGTGCTTAAATGTGATTCTTTGGATCAGTGTCTGTGCAGTCTTGCTGAAAGCTGATCTGTAGCCTCCTGTAACGCCTTCATTTGTAACACGCAAGAATCTCTGTTTTGAGGAGCTCCCAGACTCGCTGTGGATCCATGTTTTGTTGCTCAAAATTCAGTTCCTGACAGAGAGAAGGTTTATGATTGACCACATACTGAGGTGTTAAATATTTAATAGCCTTAGCTGTCCAGCTTCTCCTCTGTTTTTTTCTGTTGTCTCAGCAGTTCTGTCTCAAACCACTACTCGCACAAACCCAGTGGACTCATTAGCACTGCAAGCACCGGCTTGGATGCAGCATGTGAACCCAAATCCTGTCAGCTGAGGCTGCACAGAGGATTGTTTTTAAAATAAAGAACATGAGCTTGAATGATGATCGTAAAGCAGTGCTGCTTCTCGTTTGGTTGCATTTATTTTCTGTCTTTGTTTCCCCTTTCTTCTCTCTTGTCTCGCCAGTTTCTAAACTGATAAATCAGGCACGATGATTTAGCACAAAATCCTGCTCTGTAGCACAGTAACCCCTCTTGACTGTGGGCGTGTATGCAGCTACCAGGCCAAATGGATTTGGAGCATAGCAGAGAAGAGAAGTAGCTGCTCTCACATAGTGCCAGGCCCTTCCCATCTCTATCTGCTTTGCACTTTAATGGCCTCCTGCTTTTTCTCTTGAGTCCGGACAGAAGGAGCTGTTGTCCGGCTTGGAGCAAATAGAGAGAGATGATACTTCTCACACTGAGCGTCCAGAGCCCAGAGGAGGCATTGTGGTGACTAATGGCTGGAGGGTTGTTAGCATGCTATGTTCATATTACAGTTGAACATAATTATCTCTCATGGGGGGGTGGATATTAACGCAGAGATTGGACCCAGACAACATGGGGGTAATTTTCCAACTCGCCATTACACGGCATGTTGATACATATCTGATTTAAACCTCTGACAGAGTAATAGCCTTCTGCAAAACAGCTCTGAGGTTTAATGCATTCACAAACTGCCCATTTGGATCTGCGTTTAATACAAGCATTAAAACTATGAGTCCATTCTTTCTTGGTATGAATATTGTAGAGTGGAATAACATCAGATAGTGTTAGCACTGCAATGTGCAGATTGATCTGCAGATTATTTTCTCATCCAATAGATTCATCTTTTTTTGTGATACATGCAGAAAATAGTGAAAAAATGGCTGTTCTAATCAAGCTGTAACCTCGGGGGCTGAAATATGAAGCCCAACGCGGAAGTGCTAAAAACCGCAATTACTCTAATGGCCACTTGAGGCTGGCTCCAAGAGCGAGTCAGTCCCTTCAGACCCCAATGGTGAAATGCCCAACTTAACAACAGAAATAAACATGCTTACAGCCTGGTACAAAAATGGTTTTGGTCTCCATAGCTAATTTCCCCGTTCATGACAACTGCAGGGGGGATGAATTGTTACATAACTCACCTGTTTAAATGTAAAGTTATGAATAATTAGGCTGTCGCTGCTTTGAGTGACAAATGGATGCCATTCATTGACAAGTTGCTACCACGTCGACAACACTGGTTAGATAACGTAACCATGGCATAACCCCAGATTCACAAAGTGTAGCTGCCGTAGTTGTCTCTATTTCAGTGTATTTTCAATTCATTAAAGTTAATAGCATCATTTTGGTCACCTTAAAAAGTCTAAAAGATCCTCTAACGAGTCACATGTTCAGTTTTTCTGGTAAGTACATATAGTATTAATGCTTTTAAGCATGTTTTTTGATAGCAAAAATTAGCATTAGCACTATCACAGTTACCCACAGTTGTAAATGCACCTTGCTATCCAAGCTAGCAACTAGTGTTAGGATCAGGCCCCCAGGAAGTGTGCAGGGCATCAAAGCCAATATTCATAGTGGCCAAACAGTGGTACTGCAATTTCCAATGTCTGTCACGTGATGCCAGTGGGCCCAAAGACTTTTCCCCATACACTTACATTGGGAAAGTGACATCTGTAAATCACTGGATACATTTTTATGAGCATCACAACCCCCGCTGAATGACTCCGTTTACTATTGGGATTTGATCAGTGTGGTCCGATAACATTTGGAAAGTCTAGAAGAGCCACAAGATGAAATCATTTTATCCCCCTTCAAGTTAGCGAAAGCACCAATCACCCGAGTAATTTCATACCCCAGAAATAGAGCTTTTTTGGCTTCACGCAACACTGAGCAACTTTCATAGGAATGAACAGGGTCCCACCTTCAACACTGCATCCAGGTCTCTTAATACATCCATGGTTTAGGTTCGTGCCATCCTCTCCTCTAAATATGGTGACTTCTGGCTCCAAAAATACAAGATGGTGGTGCTCAAAATGTCAAAGGCTTCAAAACAGGCGTCCACAAACCAATGGGTGACGTCACGGTGGCTATGTTCATTATTTTTATACAGTCAATGACTCTGATTTTCCAGGTGATGTATTCGAATTGCTTGTTTTGTCCGAACAACAGTCTAAAAAATAGATTCAGTTTACCATTATATATGACAAAGAAAAGCAGCAAATGAATGTTTGGCATTTTAGAAACCTTTTAATATATCACCACCATCAGGTCAAAATGGTTACTCTGCAGTACTTTGGTTTATGACTGAATAGCTGCAAAACAAATGATGGTCCCCTCAGCCTTAGCTGTATTTTGTTTAGTGCTAGTCAGCAAATGTTTGCATGCTAATACACTAATAACTAAGATGTCTAATGCCTGAGTGCAGCTTTACAGAGCCGCTAGTATGACTGTAGACTTGTCAGATGGTCGTTCATTTAGTGAACAGCTGGATTGTTTCACTCATCATATGCTCAAGATGAGTGAAACAATTGATCACTTATTGAAATAATAATCAGTCAATAAATCAACTAACAGCTTTGGCTAATATGGTTTATAATATTGTCACTGTTCCAAAACACCATACAGTGGCCATAATTTATCAAAACTCAATCTGTAAAAGGCTTGGCATTGATTAAAAACTGTACAACAGTCTACGGCACAGAAGATATCCATGACTGTGCATCATCATAATCTAATTTTTAAAAGCAAAGCTTTTTGTGTCGGCTAATTCTGGTGCATTTTGCTGCAGTTCATCATTCTGTTGTCAGGTTCACTGTCTTTACAGTGTAGTTTTCTTGTTTTAAAGAATTCATTCCTCACATGTTGGCTTGAGGTTGAGCTTTGAGCTGTACTGGTGGCATTGATAGGAGAACAGAGAGGGCAGTGTCCCGGCGTGGGCTGGCTCATATCCAGCACCAGCCGAGCAGACATCTCACTTTTATCACCAGCCATCGGCACCCCGTGCAGGGAGACCTCTGTGTGCTTTAATTTGTGCTAAACTGCGGAAACGAGCAGCCACATACACAAATGGAAAGACCCATTAGGAACGACTAAACAAATTATTCAGTGAAGGGGTGGGCCCAGCCTGTTTTTC